GAGGAATGTCGATGGCCAGGGATCGAGTGTACGGATGCGAGGTCGAAAGATACCCGGACGACGACAACATGCCTCCAAGAATTCATTGCGAGACCTCTGTTCAACGTCAAAAACGGCAACTCGATAGCTCGCGATTATTTCTGGATCAGAATGGGCTGTAAATGCTACGTGATCAAGGTGTGATTGGAAGCTCGAGGGCCGCTGGACTAGTGCAGCGTTCTCGTTCTGTCTAAAGAGAGTTTCCAGTCGCGCGATTGTCTTTCTATCGGGATTAACAGCATGACTCGGTATCTCGTCCGATTCTCCCGTTTTAGCTCTTCCCTGTGAGCAAGTTTTCCGCATGAATTCGAGTCAAGCAGCGCAGGTCGGGCGGCAGATAAACATTTCGCCTCTGCCGCGCCAGCAATCCCGAATCGAGTTTCTATGTACATATCCCCCTATATAATAAAAGCGCTATGTCTGTCTGACACCGGACCACTTTTTAGCGCTCTCCACCTCCGAACAGACCCCAAATTTTCCAGATCGATGCGCAATCACTCCAGTGAGGTCGAGATATACTTTTCTAACTGCTTAACCGCATGTTTTCCGTGGAATTCACGTGTTTGTGCAGTAATCCTTATTTTCCACAAAATGCAAAGCCGCTTCTATGATGTCATCAGAACTCAGGTCACCTTCTTAACAGTTCTACGGGCACGAGCCCACAGTCTACATTGAACTAGCTTCGCAATCGGAACCTGTATCAAGGAAGGAGCCTCTACTCCATTCGTTTCAGCGTTCAGCGAGCGTGCCGAGCGGCGTATCCCGGGGGCACCTGCCAAGGGGCTGCGGCTCTGAGAAGAGGTGTCCGGAATGCCGTGAGGTGCCCAAGATCCCGTGAAAAAAAAATTGTCCGCTTCGTTCGGAAGCATCACCCCGCGCTAAGAAAATATGCCACAAGGTTGGCCGGTCCCGTCAGGCTCCGGCTCTCTGCGCTTGGATTTGGAACAATGCCCGGTTATGAAGCGCAGTCAGTCCTTTTCCCACTTCGAGACTTGACAATTATTCTTCACGAGAATAAGCCCCTCCCAACACCCCTTATCCACGATAATTACGTAGTCCAGACTCAAAGAGGAACAACATGTCTACTGCTTGCATACCCTTCCCCTTGGACAACGAAAAGCAACACTCAATTTTCTTAGGGCTGTGGGGGCGCGAAGCGCCCTCACGGCTAGTCGTCGATAAGCTCGATTCGCCTCAAGTCAGGAGTCAGGAGAACTACTTGGTTATCTGGGAAACCTTCGTTGTTCTCCCCAGCGAATCATAATCATGATCGAAGCCCGACTCGATCTCGATTTTGGCAGTTTTCATCGAATAATCAGAAGCTCTTAGGTTCTCGCTCTTATAAGTCTGCTGCCTTCTGTCGGGCTCTCACTCGCCGACCTTCGCCTTATAGAATTCCCTTCGAAAGACTGACGGAGGTTTTAATTATGCCATAATTCGCGCTTATTTTTACGCTTTCGTGTCGAATCCAGGGGTATGTAGAAAATCAACTGTAGAAATCGAATGATAGATCTGCCTCGCGAACGATTGCACCCGGAGACTTTGCCGTAAATTTACAACCCAGTGATGCAGTTCGGATAATCCGAAACTCCGCAGTTTCTGAATTATAAGGCTCCAAAAGCGGACAAGATTCCGATGCTTGAAGGACGAAGTATATCGAGTTGGTCAGCAAAGCCTGCGACAAAGACGTTTTCACGTCAAAACATCCCTAAGCATAAGCATATCAGATTGTCTGGGCTTGAGCGATGGGCATCGAATCGAGGATCGAGGACCTCCCGACATGAAGGAGTCAGAGATTTTTCTTGGATTCTTCATTCTGATGCTCGGTGACCAATCGGTCTATCCTGTCGTTCCACTGCAGATCCCCGGCTGCATAATCGTGCGGATGAAGATTAACCCAGACTTTTTCTCGCAGCCCGTCGGCATTCAAATTTTCGCGCCTCATCCTGCATATCTAAAGCAGCGGGGAGGCTAGGTCTGTTTCTTTCTCTGGAATTTGTCTGCTAGCTGCCACCACCGATTAGAAATCCTACCACTTGGCCGCACACAATCATCCTTGTGCAGACCGAATCCTTATTTCGCTCAGCGTTTCGCTGGTTCCTGGTTCCTGGAGACGAATAAATTCTCTCAGATCACTCCGGTGCGTGATTCTTAAGCTCAAGAACCATTATGAAAAAATGAGCAGGGAGGAGTTCTCGGAACTAGTCCGGTTTCACGAATCTTAATCAATCTTTCCGACTTCCGACTTCTGCATGCCTCGATTCTGGAGTCATGCTGCGGGAATACCGTCGATGTCAAGCTCTCGGATTGATTTTGTGCCTCACAGAATACAATCCCTCAAATCACAGGCCTCGGGTTACGATCGTTCCATGTCTTCCCGGTCAGAACTCACGAAAGAAAGTCAGAGGACATTCACGGACCCGCCGCTCGATCCTGACCCATAAATCTTGTCTTTCCAGCAAATGTTGAAGAAAGTTCCGAAGAAGGTGCTTTCATCGGGCGCGACGGGAAAAGCCGTGAAATACTTTCTCATCGGTGAAGTGTCGCTCTTCGTCGCTTCATACGCGCTATACTCTGGGTTGAATTCAGACTTGAGATTCCGACATTGGATGTCGAAAAACTGCAGTCCGATTCTGGACGGTTACTACGCTCTCGGTGAGAAACTCGGCGGCCTCAAGACGAGAGAAGAGGACGCAGCCGCTTTCAAAGAACATTTCGGTCGGTATCCATAGACCGAGAAGCCAAGAACGACACTCGTTCGTCTCTGCCGCATCTGCCGAAGAGCGAATCATGGTCTCAGTAGCGGAATCGAGTAGATTTTTCGCCGTGTTTTCGGAGAAGGCTGCACTCTTCGACGAATGCGTGGCTTCCAAAAATGTGCAGGACTGTCGTTTATTGATCCAAGAGTGCCAGTCCCTGGTGAGCGCGCACTCCGCTGGTTTGCCATCGAGGGATCTTCAGGTTTACAAAGAGCGCATAGAGGATTTCAAGCGGATTCTAGACAAGATCAAGGAGCCGAAGAAGAAGTTCGGATTCAGCAGAGCGACGAAAGAAGCGCACGACGCGAAAATACGATCCGACAAAGTTCCGGACCACGAGACTTTGACGGCTTCAATCGAGCCGGCAGCGGAGGCAGCCAAGGCTGCGTTCTTTCTGGAGAATCGCACCGATGTGAATCTCCAACTAAGCGATGTCCACGGCGAGGTAGAGCTCCGAAACCTTAGAGGATGCAAAGTCACTATCAGGGGTAATCCGGCGACACTTTACATAAGCGAGGTTCATGACTGTCTCGTGGTCTGTGATCCGGTGGCGAGCTCCGTCTTGATCGTGGGATTCCGAGGGAGCGAGCTCCGGGTCGCTTGTCAACAACTTCGGATCCACAAAGCCGGAGATGCGATCTTTCGCCTTCACATTTCTTCAAGGTGAGAGTTGCTATCCATTCCAGACCGAGAATGAAATTCAATAACACTAAGCGGGAACAATAACTTGATTGGCACTTGGAATCTTGGGTCAGGAGTCAGGATCGAATGATATTTCCAGGTCTATAATCGAAGATTGTCGGAACGTAAGTTTCGGAAAGCTGCCTGCGGAGTACAACGCTTCGGAGCAAGCGTGGGAAGCTGCTGGACTCTCCAAAACGAAGAACAACTACAGTTTGGTCGACGATTTTAATTGGCTGAACGTCCAGGAACCCTCGCCAAACTGGAAGCTCTTGGACTAAATTCTCGTGGGTCATGCTCACACAGTGTACAGAATAAAATAACTATCTTCGAGCAAACTACTGCATCGATCATTGCCCAGATTAGCCTAATTCTGTCCGGGCCTCCGGATACGAAAATGGATGGCGGAAGTACGAGCGCGTCCTTCGAGCATGACAATTCGCTCAGCAAGCAGACTTCCGAGAAAAATACCGACCTGTAGAGGATTCGAGTCAAAATCGAACATAAATATATATGGGGATCGGACTTTGTAGTATCATCAAATGACCACACTAATGAGACTCTCGAGAATGTATCCGACGAACTTTTTTTAGTAACATTATAAAACTCGAACACAGAGGCAGCATTGCTCGTATCTCTCGCATCCGCTCAGGCTCATATCCGAGCCGTCGCTAGGAGTTTGTTGACATCTTCGGTTTTCTGCTGTAAGGTGTCGATTCCGTTCTGTATGAACTGCAAAACATCCACGTGGGCGTTGAGAATTTTGGTGATCTGACTTAGCGAAGAGGCGTCATTGCCTGATTTGTTATTAGCGTTTATGTGTTCGATGATGTCTTTGATGCGCTCAGCCATTCCTCGGAGCTGAGCGTTGACAGTGGTTGCCGAGTTGTAGGTAGTTTGACGCTCGAAATCCGTGTGGTGCTGAATGGAGGTCGGTTCGAGCGCGAGCGCTTCCTGCTCCAATGGTCCGAGCATTTCCTCGAGTTCCTTCTGCTGAGCCACCACGAAGTCGACCTCTCGATCCATTCGGTCTTGATCACTTCTGACCTTTTTCATGTATTCGTGGAGTTCGGTGATTTTCTCGGCGTTCGCGGAGATCAAGCGGTCCCAGGCATTGATTTGGGTGGCTCGTTTCAAGAAGGACTCTTCTTGGAACTCGAGTTCCTTCTTCCACTCGTTGCACTTCTTCTCCAATTCTTCAAACGTCATCGCGCCCTGCGGTCCTGACGCCACACAAGTGGCTGCACCGGTCCCGGTCGGCGCTGACGCAACGGTCGTGTTTGTCGCTGTCGGAAAGCTAAAACCTCCACCTGCGGGCATCGCTCCCCCTAGACCCGTCGATCCGAAGGCGCTCGTCGTCGACGTCGGCGCCATTCCAGCGGCCGTGGTGGTGGGTTTCGCCGCACCGAACGAAAACGCAGAGGATGCGGTAGAGGCACCGAACGAGAAGTTCCCGGCTGCAGGTGCTGTCGCCGGAGCGGTAGAGGCACCGAACGAGAAGTTTCCTGTTGCAGGCGCAGCTGCAGGGGCGGGGGCCGCTCCGAAACCGGTTCCTGTAGTCGACAGATTGAGAGTCGGTGCCGCGCTTGTCGATGCCCCGAACAGGGACCCGCTTCCGAAAGTTGACGGTGCCGTGGCCGTTCCTGTCCCGAAAGCTGGGGTTGCCGATGGAGCCCCGAACGCCGAGGTGGTCGTCGGCGTCCCAAAGGTGAGACCTGGAATCAGCCGAAATGTTAGATCATCCGCAGGGTTCCCGCGGAGTTTGACTCCGCCGATATTTGGACCAGAAATTTTGGGGCTTATCCAAGAAAAAATTATCGTCGCTCAAAGCCGCACACTCGCGTATCGTGGATATATCCGATTGTGAGCTGTTCGGACTCCTTTAGGCGACCGAGAGGAAAATCAATCATGACTTGGGTTCGGGACAGAGATCTCCACGAGCGAGGGTTCCGTCGGGGAGCCTCCAATCACCAAATCGAATCGGGGGGGGGGGCTTCCGAGGAGCGAACAGGAGTTCAAGAAGACATGGAGCTCACCAGTTCCTCCAGCGGTGGTTGTGGGATTCGTGCCGAAACTGAACGCCATTTCTGTATCGTTGATTTATTCTCGAGCGAAAGTACGAGGAAACGTTTATGGACGAACAGCACAGCTCAGCGGACTCTCAATACAGTACGTCGCAAGTTCAGATCGATGGAACTTCCGCACATCCGACTCATGGGCTGAACATTCGGATATCGCTCTGATGTTCCGGCGCCTTGCTCGTAAACAACGATTTTAGCGCGAACTCTCTCGCCTCGAATATGGTTCGAGATTCCGCGCGGGGCAATTCCTTATCAGCTCGAATCCCAGCTGAACGGTGTCGGGATGAAGCTCGAGCGTTGCACCCGAGCGGTGAGGTGATGACACCCTCTATTCAGTGGCAGAATCCGGAGACAAATTCTCAGCAGGATGTTTTGAATCGTGCTGTCTCGTTGGAAGCATGAGCTCGCAACATGGGACAGCTGCCCGCTAAAGTTGGCGGCCATATTCTCCTCTCCTTCTTTTTTGGGAGACACATTAAAATTGTCGTGGTTTGAGCTCAGCCACTCGAAGTGCTGCGGGAATCCCGCAATTCTTGGAGAACGGCGTTCCTGTTCGTGTGATTTCCTTGAAGACTTGATCTTTTCCGGTTCGATGTTCGCTCTCGTGCTTCCCTAGATTGCTGCGGTCCTAGCGACGCCTGGGCTAGGAGAAAGTTCTCGCTCGGGTCGAGAGATCAGCTGTTAGAATGTTCAGCTTCGAAGGACAGTTCCGCAGAAGGCCAACCCAGGCCCTCGGTGGGGCCAGCCGTCTCAATGAAACCGTAAGACATCCGAATTCATGTGAGAATTGGGGAGAACAGGACTCACTGCCGACCTACACTTCCGGTCAGCAATGATTGAGACGAGGCTGCGTGACAGACGCAGATACATACCGGCGATTTGTTTCCGGTCATACAATAACATACGCTCTAGAGCCACGAGCGAGTTCTGGGGATTTATCCAGGCTCATCATCGTGTCGTGCGCGGAGCCTCGAGTTGGGGTCGACCGGGTCTGCGATCGAAAAATAGACTCTCTTTTGTTCCCTGTTGCGCAGTCTTCTCCAGTGTATCATGAGCTCAGTGTATCAGCCTCGAGCTCCCCTCGAGGGCCGCATTCGAAAATACGCGAACTCGCTCTCGAACAATCTCGCTGTAGCATTCCAGAATGATTTTCCTCGTTTCTGGTTTCGTAACCCATAAAAGAATCATAGTGACCGGGAGCGATACGAAATTAACCGCCCTGGCACTCGAAGCTCCAAACATATTTTTTCGGAAAGTTTCCGAGCTATCCTTCGATCTGGTACATCTGTGACCGCGTTGATGAGAAATCCTTCGTCGGATGCAAAACCCTCGAGCGTGAAGGCGAAATGTCGGTGGGAGTTGGGATCGGATCCTCCGTCCAGCGGATGATGTTTAGTCAGCTTTTTCCCTCATAGTTCATTCCTGTCCACAGAGCCGTGATGAGCTCCTCCGTCAAAAACAAGAGAGGCGCCGTCTCCGGGAATTCGAGAAGAGGAAAGAGCACTGCGTGGTCAAGATACAAGCTGTGATTCGAGGCTTTTTGGCCCGGAGAAGAGTTGTGAGTACAAATGAATTGTCAGCGGGACCTACTCAGCGGTTTCGCTGACCCCACTTCCCGAATAGCGGAGCGGAGTCGACCGTTGTACTTCCGAGTCGACTTCGGATATCAATTCGCTTGTATTCCGATCCTTGATGGAACTGAGTTGCGCCTCTCTCAGAGTGATGAGTGTGCTCTCTTTCGCAGGCCCGTTTATCGCGTGAGGTGTTCGACAAAGCAATCGCCGACGGGGTTCCAATAGCGCAAATTGCTCCCCTCATCACAAAGTTTTTCTTTTTCTATGAGTCTCCGAGAGACGACGATAGACTATCGAAATTGAGTCAAACTCTGCTGATCCGTCACAAGGAAGTCCTCAAAGTAATTTCGAGAGACGATCCCAAGGCGTGGAGTAAAAATCTCTCTGGCGTCCTCATCGCGAACCTGAGGCTACTGCATAAGAACAATTCCTCGCTGGTTCTACCCTTACGTCTCGTGGAGATCTACGCGTGTCCGTCGAGCTTTCCGCTGTGGCTGTACCTGATTAAGCTGCAATATTTCAAAATCATCAAGCACCTGCTGGAAACGCGATGTCCGGAGGTCGACGAGGCTTGCCTCAAACCCCCCACACCCTTGACCGAATCCTTGCTGACACTCCTCCGGAAACCATTGGAGAGCTGCTCAAACGATGAGGAGAAGTAAGTTCCACGAGCGCAGACTTGGTACCGAATTCAACTTTCGAGATTCGCCCCCACCTCGAAATCTCTTCGACCTCGATCTCAAGAAGTTTCTTTGAATTTCAGAGCTATCGTGCTACACGAGCTGCTGCAAGCCTTCTTCGTGGATAACGAACACCGATCGCTGGATTGCCGAGTTTATTACATACTTTTACCGATGCTAGCCAACTGCGATCCTAAACTATTGCCCGCGAATGTCCTGATAGCAACCAATGAGCGAGGCGGCAAGAACTCCATCTGGAAATTGCATGCCATCGCGACCATCATGAGCCGACGGGTCCCATCGATGTCCCAAAAAGATATAATAGACTACTTGAGTCTGTTGAGGAGTCAGATGCTCGACGTGCTCGTCTCGACCTCCGTCCGAGCGTCTGATCCGGTCGAGAGAGAGAACTCCGATTCCGACTCGGACGAAGAAGAGACGGAGATGGACATGGAAGTTGAACGAAATGTCCTCGAAAGAGCCGCTGTGGAGTCCTTGTGGTGTTTGCTCAACGAAGAGGCTTTCATTCAGAAAGTCATAGACTCTGTCGAAGCGCTACAATCAGCGGATGCCCTCGTTTCGGTCAGCTGCTTAAGTTACGTTATGCAAGTTCACATGAAATCCAATTCGCGGAGGTCTCCGCTTCTATATCGGATCGCCTTCCGTCCACCTTTCCTCCGGATGCTGTGGACCGCTGTGGCAGCGTTCACGAACGAAGATGCGGTTCCGCTATTGAAGATGATCTCTCAGGGCGTGAAACCTTCGAAGGAACAGACAACGTCGTTTCTACCTCTATTGATTTTCTTCTGCACTTCGTTCGCTGGTCTCCTCCCGACCGTCTACGAGGCCGAGTTCTATCACGAAGCGACCATGGAAGTCGGTGCCAAATGCAACATGATGCCCTTCAGCTTGACGGAACTGGCCTCGATCGCCATACGTCTCAGAGACCTCGCCCTCGGCCTCGTCGACTTGGCTTTCCCCGGGCATACTCAGCCGAAAGAGGCGACGAACGAAGATGTGAACGTAGAACTTTGGTTGACGCTCTTCCAGAGTGTTGTCCGGCTGCTTCACCAGCTATACGCCCGTGACTGCCGTAGGAAATTCTGTGATAATTGGATCGTGGACCTACTCGTCATCCCGGAGCAAATCAACGACACCTGCTTGAAGACATCGTACATCAAGCGTAAACCTTTCCAAAATTCCACTCAGCGATGCAAGGATAATTCCGCAGATGAGATGTCCCGCGTCCAAGTCCGTGAGTGTCTACACCCGAATAATCGATCCAGCGGATCTCCATATTTGAAGGAGCTTTTCGGGATAGATAGCTTTAGGAATCTACACTCGATTGAGATCGAATTTTCCCGCAGTCGAAACCCGCACGGCGACTATCCTGCAAGAGCTGCCTTTCGTCATTCCTTTCCACACTCGGGTAAGGATCTTCAAGCACTTCCTCGAGATGGAACACACGGTCAACTATCAGAATCGGATGAGGGTCGCGCAGCTCGTTCAGATACGACGGGACTTCCTTTACGAAGACGCATTCCGTAACTTTGGCCACGATTCAGACATCAATATCCGGAAGCACATGAAGGTTAGCGTGAGATATAGCATCGTACCGCGATATCTTCCGGGCGGTAAGAGGCTCCCAAATCCCACCGTTTTGCCCTTAAGAATTCTTCGTGATCATTTTTTTCCCGCCCATCCCCAGGTCCAATTGATCAACTCGGCCGGCATGGAGGAAGCTGGCCTCGATGGTGGAGGCCTCACTCGGGAATTCCTCGGTGAACTCTTGAAAACATCCTTCGACATCAACCGAGGTTTCTTCAAGACAACAGCCGACAACCTATTCTATCCCAATCCTTCCGTTCATCTCATCGTCCCAAAATCCCAGGAGCACTACTACTTCATGGGAAAAATGTTGGGCAAAGCGATATACGAGTTCATGCTTGTCGAACTTCCGCTGGCGGAGTTCTTCCTGTCCAAAATGCTAGCCTGGCACGGGTCTGACCTCGACATCCACCACCTGGCATCGTTGGATCCTGTCTTGTACAAGTGAGTCTTTTCTGAATTTCTGAGATATAGCTCCTCCTCCCCTAATCTAGGGTTCGCTTTCGGACCGATTTCCCGTTCCGATCCCTTATTCCCCGCCTTTCGATATCGCCTCGATGAAAACTTCAACTCGAAATCCCGTTCCAGGAACCTTCTGTTCACAAAGTCCTATCGGGGTAACGTTGAAGATCTGGACCTGAACTTCACAGTCGTGATGAACGATCTGGGAGAGCAGCACACGATCGAATTGAAACCGAACGGCTCACAGATAGCAGTGACAAACGCCAATCGGATCGAGTACGTTCATCTCATGGCCGACTTCAAACTGAACAAACAGATCCGACAGCAAACCGCTGCCTTCAAATCAGGAATGGCGGAAATCGTAGATCCCCACTGGTTGCGATTGTTCGATCCGAAAGAGCTACAGATTCTTATTTCGGGAGCCAAGTCCGCGATGAACTTGGCAGACTGGAGGAAGAACACCGTTTACGCGAACGGATATTCCGACGATCATCCTGTAATTGAAAACTTCTGGCGGGTAGTGCAGAGCTTCGACGAAACTCAACAGGGTCAGCTTCTGAAGTTCGTGACGAGTTGCTCTCGGCCGCCGCTCCTCGGTTTCAAGGTGAGCGGCGAATAGATATCAGTATATCAGTGACTCTCTCCTACCGTCGATGATTCTTAGGCGGAGGAATGTCTCCCAGGATTGTCGAAGCATCTTCGCTCAGCTCTTCTTCCGATTTTCAGGAGCTCCAGCCATTATTCGGCATCAATAGAGTGGAATCAACGGATCGACTACCGACGGCGGCAACATGCGTCAATTTATTGAAGTTGCCGGAAATCGAGGAATTCGATCTAATGAAGAGTAAACTTCTGTACGCAATACAATCAAACTCAGGCTTCGAGCTGAGTTGATTCGGAGGCTACTTTGTATTCGGGTGTGCTGAGAAACGGCGGGAGGCTTCGCGTCGATCTGCGGAATCCAATGCCCCAATGTGGTGGAGAGCTGGCATAGATTTTCCACTCCCCGAGGAAAATATTGCAAGAATGTTGTACATTTCGAGAAGACAGATCGAGAAGATCAGACGACAGAGTCTAAGCTGAACAGAGGACTCCGGTGCCGGGTGCCGCGACCCCTAAACTCCATTTCGCGGCTCATGGAAGTTCGAGGATCTGGGTCGTCGTCCCGAAAACGATAAGACCGACCCCCTTTTCCTATGACCGAGTTAATATTTATCGGAGCGGAGGGAAACTGTGAACAGATTGGTGATAGCGAGCATATGGGTGAATAAAAGCAAAAATTTCGCAATGCGAAAGATTACGACTCGACCGCTCCGTCATTCATTCGAGGCAGGAAACATGATGCACATCGGGGATCTCGATATCCAGGCTGTGAAAATCATGGGTTCAACGATGTCTTGCGTCCGCAAAGGCATTCTTGTGGTCAGCCAACTACTCGGGAGCTTCTGAAGTCGTGTATGTATAGCTTTCAGTGGTATCGAGGAGCCATCTTCTCCTGTGTGCATGAGCTGGGGAGGGGAAAAAATCTCGACCATCCGCCCTCAGATAGCGATCGCGCAGCGTACAGCGCGGGACATTCGGCAAAACGCTCCTCATTCCATCGCACGATTGCATATCCAGCACAACGATTCTTTTCTTCCTGAAACTGCTTGGGAACCCCCAATCTGCTCGCCTTCATACAATATTGAGTTGAGGTTTCTGAAGTTGTTCCTGCTGCCACGCATCACCCATCGCCTAGAGGAGAATAGAAATGACGAGCGACTACTACAGCTTGTATCCGCCCGCGAGGAATATCGGAACCTCACTAGACACCGTCTGGATTGTTCCTGTGTCTGGGATTCGAGGTTCAAAATGCAGATGGGTTCTGCTACAGCTGGACCGCGGGACTGTATAGTGTCAGAGCTCCGTGGTGTCAAATCCCGTGTCTCAATTGTGCGCGATGACAGAGGACAAACGCCCCCAGTTTGGCAACCGCTTGCTCACGGATGCAGATGATGTATTCGAACATAACGCATGGTGAGATCGGATCCTCCGAGAACTGAATAGCAAATGTTAGAGAGATCTTCTCCGGCCTATCGACATGACCGATGAAATCTCAATGAGATTTACGATCCTTTCTCCGTCGATTCTACAATCTTGTATGCTCGACTAACCCAGGGACAACGTCGAGTGGACAGAAGAGCAGCGGGCAGCAGCTCGATGCAAAGTTGCTGAGGCCGCTGAAAACAGAGTCGATGATTCGAGTAGAAGTGAGTCGGATCACCCTGATTACTGATTCTGGTTTGGAGCTCGATCTTTTTGGTTTGTGTCGTCTCTCGAATCTCCCAGTCTGAACTAAACCTACTCGCAGAACATTACGAGGACGAGGCGGCGAATTACTGGGACAAATTCTACGACGTGCACACAAACCGCTTCTTCAAGGATCGTCATTGGCTATTCACGGAGTTCCCTGAGCTTCTTCCCCAAAACCAGCAGACCGACTCGCCGAACGGGACTCACCCTGGAGGAAACGATTTAGAAAAAGCTGCGGAGTCATATCCCGGTCAAGGCGCACGCTATCGGTGAGACAGCTGCACACGAGAGTGACATTTATCGCCGGACATTCGAAGTGGATCAATCCGATTTCTCCCTACCGGAGGTCTAAGAGCAATGTTCTCTGATTTTCAAGTGTCTTCGAGATGGGCTGTGGCGTAGGAAACACTATATTCCCGTTGCTCCTCATCAACAAGAATCCCGATCTCCACGTGTACTGCGCGGACTTTTCTCCGAAAGCGATCGAAGTACTGTCTTCGCACAAAGATCTGGACCGGGCTCGCTGTACTCCGTTCGTTTGTGATGCTACGGCTGAAGACTGGGGGACGCCTTTCCCTGAAGAGTCCTTGGATGTCATATTATTCATATTTGTCTTGAGCACCATATCGCCCGAAAAGTAGGATTCTCGATTCCATCCTTCAAAATGTTAGATGATGTTTCTGATGGCCTTCATCCCTTTCCGGCTCCCACTCAAAGTGCTCTCTCTCCACCCATAGGTTCGAGCATATCGCGCGGAAGAGCTTCAAGTACCTCAAACCGGGCGGGCTCCTGCTCTTCAGAGACTACGGTCGTTTCGATATGGCGCAGCTGAGATTCAAGAAAGGCAAATGCCTCGACGACAACTTCTACGTCAGGGGTGACGGCACCCGATCTTATTTTTTCACCCAAGGTAACTATCGAAAGCTCTGATTCTTAACGAACAAAATAATAATAATTTATTTACATAGTCAAATCCCCGTGGGGTTCGAGATCTTCCATTCCGGCGCTGCGTTTCGTGAGCCTACTGTGCCATTTGTGTCCTCACAAATTTGAACGATATGTTTCCCCGGGATCATCGCGAGACCGAGATAGCGCGCATCTACGGCTTGCTTCATTTCATCTTCGCTCAGATATTCATTGCAGTTACCGATGATGAGGTTGATGTCTCTGTCGACGCAGAGGAACACGCCTATCAGTATCCGGCCGTCACTGATTGTGACTTTCAGAGACTTGTTTAGCCATGTGGAGAGTTTTGCGTGCGCTTCCGAAAGGTTGACGTCTGTGTCGGTCGGCATCTGAAAGCGGAGAACCGGACTTTTCATTTTGGAAGGACTCGACTCGCACGCTCCGATCAGTTTCATTTGTGAAGGAAAACAAAGTTCTCACTCGGAAACTCTTTATTGACATGGTTCAAAGTCCGATGAATATCTCTCTATACCTATGCCCACGATCCGGAAAGTCAGAAGCGGACACCTTTCCCATATTTTTTGTACCACATTAGCAGCGTGGCGGCACTGAGCGAAAACCAAGTCAGAATGTACGAAAGGTGCTCGTTGCGCAGATTGACTCTCGTTTGTCCTCCCAAGGGTCCCCCGGGGATCGAGGATTTCCTCGCTGCATCGATATACACAGGCGCAGTTCCTAACGTTTGTGCCAACATATCGATGTCGCGTACCGCGAAGAAGGCTCCACTCCTTATTTCCTTCGACGCTATCGGTTTCGGTTCGCTCTTCCGAACGACGCCCTCGATCTCTACCACTCCGGGAATCTGGCCTTCCCGTCTGGTGGCTGGGTTTGTTTTCTCTCGTGGAACCCAACCTCGATTGATTAGGATAGAGTAGTCTCTGTCCTCCAATTTCAGGGGTGTGATGACGAAGAAACCAATCCCCCCCTTCTCCACATCTCCTCGAGGACCAATATACACCTCTTCGTCGTGGTCGAAAACCCCTCGGACCCGAACGGTCTGGTACTCCATGTCGTCCAGATCACGGAGATCTGAGGGGAGCTCGACGGGAGGCGCTTTAGTCTTCGCGTCAATAGTGTCGATAAGCGCTGTTTTCCACTCGCGTCGCCTGATTTGCCAGCAACCGAGGCCGAAAGCGATCGCTGGACAAACGAGCAAGGCATATTTAGGACTCGGCCGCTCGACAGGGAATTCCTGAGATCGGTGAGCGCTCCTCGTCGCAGATGGGCGCTTCTCGAATCGAGCGAGCACGCGACCCAGTGTTCGGAACATCTCGCCTTCGGCGTCGCCGCGAGGTGTCCTGCAAGCAAAAACCGAAATTGCAGCAACAAACCGATCGCTTCGACCTCCGAACCCTGGGGGGCACATCCCCTCTTCCGTTCCGCGCTTTCTCGGACTAGAACATCCCGGAAGCGGCTCGATGGCGACTGACTCCACCGCATCCGCATGGATAAAACATGGACTGCTCCTGTTCCAGAGGAGCTGACTCAGCTATTCACCAAGGCGGGCTTCATCGAGGAACAAAATCACCAGGACAAACGCTTGCAAGTCAACCGTGGTAGACGGATAGAGATGTACAGAGTTTGGATCCAGTGTAAATATCGCAAGCCGAGCGTGCAATAAAAAAGGATCTCTGGACTTGGATGCGGCTCACTCGAGCGGGGTCGAACTCTATCGAGAAAATCCCCTGGCTATCTCTCATAAATATCTGACGTAAATATTTGAATCATGAACGACATTCTCCGATCGAATTCTGGTTCCCCTCATGGGCTCATCGCCGACGCCGTTTTCTGACGACTGCCCTGAAGCTCCGATCCGCGAAAGGAACGCGAGTCGCAGGCTCTAATTAAGAGAATTGGTCGCGCTTACTCGAGTGTCGCCGGTAGCGGTGCTTCTGTGAAAGTCGATGAGGTCGAAGGATCACGCTGATGCCGTCAATCCGCATGCGACGCCGATCAGCGACCTCCGCTGCCTCCGAGAGCTCTCCTGACCTCATTGATCTCTACCGAATCGTGTAACTTGACCACAGGAAAACCAGAGACTAATAGACAGGCAACTCCATGAGAGCCAGAGAACAGCGCACGCTGCTTCAAAAATCGAAGAGACCCACCTGCACCCGAGAACGGTTTGTGCTTGGAGTTTTCAGCAGGACCACGAGCCCATAGGCTACTTGTGAGAGTATCAGCTGATCGTTCACAGATCCGTCCGTGGGAATCTCAGGCAAGACCGAACGATTGAGAGATTTTTTCTGCCCAGAGAGCTAAGCAGTGGTTTCGGTTCGATGTTTACTTGGCTCACGACCCTCTCCAGCCGGCGGAGGAGGAGGAGGGAAATAGCGCAGAAGGTCTCCCTCGCAAAAGTTCTCTCATACTGCAGAAACATAACAATAACAAGGACCTTTGCTGCGCTGCGGCCCGCCTCGACGGAAAATGATTCCGGGTGAGATTAAATCAGCTGATGTTTTTCTCCTGTTGTCGAGAGATCGATCCCCTGCTGGAGTGAGAGCAGCCGATTTGCTGCTCCCCTAGCACAGTCTTCGATCTCTCCCGAGCTTGCCTTGGTACTCTTGTTTTCCGTTTTGACATCTCGATTCTAGTGCTCGCTCGATGCTTCCAGTTCAACCAGCATGCTCCCTGCTGACAAAGTGCTCACTTCACGTGATTCCCAAATCTTGCCCGTGTACTGATGGTACTGTACCGACCGCATTCTGTGGACATCTAGAAGTGCGCCTCGAATTGGTAGGACTCGGTGGCGCAACGGTAGCGCGTCTGACTCCAGATCAGAAGGTTGCGTGTTCAAATCACGTCCGGGTCAAATTTTTTATTTTTCCTTGAATGATACCCACCGGAAGCGGACTGACTCACGGTCAGGGGGAGATCGAAATCCTCGAGATTCTCTCAGCTTGAGAGTCCCGAATGGGAATCCTACTGATGGCATCCGCGTAGGAATGTGGTTCCGCGTCGATCGCTTCTCTCGATATTCAAATATGCGAATCAATAATATCCATGCATGATTCGAGTATCCAAGCAGAGTACCTCGAAGGATCGGGACGATCCGAATTCTCCGGGGAAGTCCCGGGCTCTCGCCAGGCTTTCAAGCAGCCTTGATCGTTCTGGACGCGCTTTTTCGCGCCCTCGAAAACTATCATCGCTCCTCCGACCTGATGAAGGCTGTCAGATGTTACGAGGCTGAATTAATTAAGGGCACGGGACTGCTTCCTGCGGAAACTAACGGACGCAGATTGCAGAGTAATCGTCGCATGAAGGAGCGCTCTGGCTTCATGACATTTTAAGCAGTCGGGAGAAGGTATAGTGACGCCTTCCGACACGTCTCCATTGGGCTTGATCTGTCGGATCGCGAGATGGAGCACAATTGCTGCAATCACGAAAATTTCCACCAAATCGTTGGCTTTGGCAAGGAGACTCATTTTCGCTGAACCATCTGACCTGGTTAGGAGTGTGTCACTCTCCAAGGTTTGCTCGCTCGACTAGTTCTCTGAACTCACTTCGAACTACTCGAATCCAGTATGCGTCGTGGCCGGCATCCATGTGGAGTTCGTGAAGCAGCGAGGGGATCCGCCGCATGACCTTATCGTACCAGACGTGTGTTTGTCGAGAGAAAATTGCACGGTCGAATGCGTGCCTTGTACTGCACGAGACACAATCACGCATGTACGTGGGCTAGTGAGTCCTCACATATATGTACGTGGAACGTCACGGACCGTTTCCTATTCGTCCAACGGTCTCTAATCAAGCTCAAGAAGCCGGAATCAATTCCCCGATATCGCCCCGCATCGAATCGGACTCTAGAACGATCAAAGGGAATCGTCTCGACTCGGAGACGATCTCGACCGATCCCGGCCTCCACCGATGAGACTCAGGCCGATGTTCAATGAGTTGAGAACGATGAACCCACGGGGCGATCATCGCAATTTCCTCGTCGCTGCTCGTCTGTTCGACCATCGGGATCCGCCACGCTAGCAGCGTCTCCGGGCAAAACGAATTTTTCTTCTCGTCGGACCTCAGACATCGTACGGGAGGAAGTCTGTGGTGCTAGATTGAAATAAAGAGGTACACAGCAGAGCAAGTGACTCTTCTCTCTCACTCTCTGTTCCGTTCGCGCGAGCAAGGTGCCTTTCGTCGAGGCGGCGGGACCGGTGAAGCATTCCGTGTGAGAAGTCTCATTCCTCGCGGACTCAACTCCGCGAATCCGCTCTCTCGCCCGTGTCCCGATCACGGATCGAGAGAATAAACGGCGAATGGGCAAACTAGCCCATTAGGGATTGGACAGGGAAATAGAAAACAGACACATGAGTGGAAAGATCCGTCAGACGGACGGGTAGTCACAGACGGATGGACGGACGGATGGACAGACGGATAGTTCTGCCTTCGGTTGCTGAGCAGAATCTCTTGGCTCGCGGTGCTACTCGACGACCCATAGAGGAGTGAGTGACGGCGCGTTGTCGGCCGCCGCTATTGCCGTCGCCGTCGGCTTTCGGTTGCAGACGATTCCAGAAAATGAGCCGACGCTCAACTTTCAGCTGAAGTTGCCTCAAGAGCTCGAGGGATTGTTTTCCCGGTGTTGGAACACCTTCCGACCGCAGATTCCTCAGATCGGCCCTCGCTGTGAGCGTTCCGTCCGTAGTATCTATCTGAGCCTACTGCTGCTGCCGCTGCTGTTGGTCGGCCTGGCTGATCGGTGAGTGAGTGTAGAGTGAGTGAGCGATCGGCCAACCTTACCGGCGGCCGATTGCCTTGGAGTGGTAGCGACTCAGCTGGAGGTCTGTGGTGCTAGGCCCCGCTATCTGTGGAAAGGGCCCTGCGCGCGCAGCCCTTCGAGGAAGGGTCTCTGAAGTCAGAGACTGACAACAGAGCGACTGCAACAAACCGGTGCTCCACTGTTCCACCTTCAAACTCCGGAAGAAAAGAGGAACGTTTATTTTCTAGTCTGTGCGTTGGTATTCTCGCGACGCTTTCGAACCCTCTCGTGTCCATGTCGCTGTGCTAGTGTCTCGGAACACGCTGTAAACTCGTTCCTAGAAATGTTCTCCGGGCTGTGAGTATCGCGACAGACTTCATTCGGTTATGATGTACATAGTCGTTCGAGTACAGTGTCGGATTCAGAAGCGGTCGGTTCCCTGCTCGGGCCCACTCGGCGGCTCTACAGTCGTCATGGGACCGGTGGTAACGGAGGGAGTTTTCTCAAAACATTCGTGCGCACTCGCTCAGAGTGAATGGCTCTATTCGGAATTTACGGGCGGCCGTCGTCGTTCGGAGAATATCCGGATTATCGAGTTGAGTCTCGGAGGTTCAGCTCGGAAAGAGCAAGGAATTCCGGTAGGGATGGAATTCACGTATGTATTGATAATTACAATTCTTGTCGTCGTCGTTGTGGATCGAGAGTGCATTCGAGCCAAGTGACTGCGCAGAGGGGTCCCTCACAACAAATCATACCGAAGCTCTTCGAGCGACATCTATCTGACTTCGAATGTTGAAGTTGCGGAGTTCTTGAAAGGAATAAATCGCTTCGGGGACTCGCAGTCTGATGCTCGTCGTAAATCTCCCAGCTTTGGAAACGGAAGATGAACGGAGGCGAACAGCACTCGGACTTGTCGAGCCGCTCTCTGCTGCTACCCAGCTATCATCAGCTGACTTTGACATTTGTCTGAAATTGACCAAAGTCTCGTCGCGTTCGCGGTGATCGACCGGGTCGCAGCGCTGTTGCGCACGAATCCATGTGTAGAATACTGGATCCGATACAGACATCGCAAAGGGGGGAACGAGTGGACCAAACTCGCGGATATCTTCTCGGTCGGCGAAGTTCCGGAAACTCCGGGAATTTAATGTATTCGGCATTCGACAAAACTGAGTGAACAGTACCAGAGAACGGATCCGCCGGCGCGTTTCCGGAGAACAATGAGTGCGCGCCGAGCATGAGACAGAAGCTTCTATCGACAACGTCGTCGACGGAACAGTTAGATGCGCGCGACATCGGAGTCAGACGTGAGCCGCACATTCAAAACGGACTAATCTCGAACGAACGTAACGGATGATGTTGCGGTAGTCTCCGGCGCGCCGCTATCTCGCCTTACGCCCGACTATCTCAGGAATGCTCCGGCCCTCCGGATCAGTCAGAGAGAACGCCGATCAGAATGCATTCCCCTGCGAAACGGAGTCGGCGGCGGCAACGGCCGCTGCTGGAGACGGGGAAGCGTCTGACGGGCTCCACAGACGTTTGCCGAGTCACGCCGACCGTCCCGAGTCTGGGAGTTCCAATTATCACTTGTGGAACATCTCTGTCGAATCGTCTGAGGTGCTGATTCCTCGACGCTGCCCTCCGTGTCCACGAGCGGAGAGGACCCGAGGAGCTGGCTCTCTGAGCGCTCGGATTCCTCTCAATATTCCCCAACACGCTCGTCGACTCTGGTTCATAGGCGATATCGCGATACGGAATGCCGTCGATTGGAACCTACGGTCAATGAAGTTTTCGAGTCACGGGGAGCCTGCAGGGAACAAGACGATTTCCCGAAAGACGATTCCGTTGAGGAGAACTCCGCTGTTTGTCGTTATCCCGGCGTCCACAATCATTCAGGATACTTCCTCCGGGGAAGCCGTTTTGCGCGCCCTGGTCCGATCGCGACGGTCGCCACATCTGATTTCTCGGTCCGGGCTGGTCTTCGTTTGGTCGCCGGGTCACGCGGCTTCGCCCGATTTATGCGGTCTCCGCTCTCGGTATAGTCCGTGATGCTTCTCAGAAGATGTATCCCTCTGATCAAGTGCCGTCATGCTCTGCGCGTTTTCTTCTTTGCGTCAATGATTGAACTGGTTTCGAGAAACCGATAGATAGAGTCGACGGACTCTTTATGCTTCCTGTGGGAAATCGGAAGGCTTCCCTCGATCGATGTCCTTCCGATACGAATGTTCTCAGGATTCATTGGCCCCCGTCAGAGAGAAGTTTATTTTCCGAGTTCAAAAACTTGGATTGAGATACGTGCGATGCAGTTGCAAAACCATTGGATGAATTCGCGAGCATAAGAAACGCGTCGCTCTCGCTGAAGAGTGAGGTCCTCCGGGGAAGGGCAGAGATGGAACTCTCGTCAGAACACATCCCCGCAAGTCTCGCGGACACTCCCCGGGGAGAAGCGGACGAGACAGGGAGGACGTAAACGTATTCAGGCGGCAAAAACTCAATAAATATTGAATGTGAGGAAGGATGATGCGTCCGGAACTCTCACTTTCCCAAATAATCTCTGTCCCGTAGGGCAGTCGCTACGGCGAGATCCGGGAAGTGGTTTTCTCGCTCGAGTAGAGAGAGCGGGTCTCACTAGAGGAATTTCTTGCGGAAGTTTCCCTCCGGGTCCTTCGATGTCACCCTTGATGTGGAGCTCCCCTCGTGATGCCTCTCGGAGGGGCAACGGACATTCATGCGACCATGTGCTCTTTCAACGATAGGAACGATTCCCGATCCACGGATCCCGATCGATATCCTTCGATTCCGATTCTACCGGTTGTGACGCACCATAAGCTTAATTCTAAAGTTTTCCAGGAGCGTTCGTTTCCGGTCGAAGAAGTTTACATGAAGAATTTAGATGTTCACATCTGTGAGAGATGTAGGGCTTCTGTTCTCCGATGTTTACTGCTTCGCGCATTTATGGTCGGTCCAGCCTGCTCGGCGGCTCCGGGAGAATACCCACTCGAGAGGAGCACCCTCTGAGAGTGTATTTGTATATGAATACCCCGATTGACTCACCGCTTCCCTGATGCCATTTGAAGGCCGCTGAACTACCACTGTGGTCGCCGCCGTCGCATCGTCGTCGCTGACGAGCGAACAGATATGTGAGTTGGTTCAAACAGCCGGACAAATAGTCTTGCGAAGAGAGCTTTGCTCACGTGCTATTTCGAGATCAGGCACTCGAAATCGAAGGAGGGGGCGCCATCGAGGAGGCGGTTTTCAGGAAAAATCCTCGAAGCACTGGGAGAGATCGGGGGAGAGATCAGAGTGGAACGAGATCCAAGAAGACTCATTCTGCTTCGGAAGTTTCGCGGACCCATAGTGTTTAAGGATCCCCTCAGAATCTCCGAGCGAATCGCTTTGGAATAACTCCGGAAAGCTTACCCCCACGGGCTGCGACTCCCTCGAATCATTTACATAATCGTTATGGATCGTGCGGGATTTCGATTGTGGCCTTGAATCTCGGAGTAATAAGGAGGAAATCTGCCGGATTCTTGCTGAAGTTCGATGAGATATAAAGTTCCTTATCGGCCCCTTCGTTTAGCTCGTGAATTGCGGGAACAAGTTCGTTCGCCTCGAGGACTACAGTAATTTAATACAAATATGAGACTAAGTAAGCAGAGGGAATTAGGCGATTTCATAATCCACATGGAGTATCTGTGGAGGTGAGCTCAGATTATTCTGCGAGCCCAGGTTCCGCAAGCTGCGTTGGAAGTCTGAGAGCTTCCGTCTGCTCTGAATGCGGAGCCCCAGGATGCTCCCTTGAGGACCGCCGGGAGACTGTCGCATAGGGTGGACGGGCCCGCCTCGTGACGCTGCCGGATTCTCGGCCTTATACACTGATGGGGAGATAGTCTCCGGTCATAAGCCCGCGGAAGGTTCTCGAGAATTCTTGATTAGCACACTGGCTCGGGTGCCTGTCTGAATTCTGGTACAAAATACCAACATCGACATACATGTGTTACATACTTCAAAGGACCCACAGGAGTCGCAGAGGGGACGGCGTATCCATCGGAAATTTTCGATCCCAGGGTCGGTTTTACATCATTCGGTCTAGTGGCTGGTCCGAGATGCGGGAGGTTTCCCGCATTTTCGAGCCGGCCAAACTTCCGAGAGCGTTCGCTGCTACGTCAGCAATGTTCCAAATGCACAGGTTCGCGTGCGTGCGAATATTTGACCAACTTTCTACTAATGAGACTCCTGCTTGAAGGTCTCCGGTTGTCCTTAGGCTGATTCGGGACATCTCGGGTGAGCCGGAAACGTGCTCCAGGATGCTCGGTGAGCTCCCTGAGTGTATGAGTTTGCGGTCGCACGAGACTGTCGGTGACCAATCAATATCAAAGACCTGCCGGGCTTGATGGGAACTAGATGCTCATCGATGTAATCCGGTGAGATCCGGAAATTCACGATTCGCGTCGTGGAGTTTCCTTCCGGACTTCCGGGGCACCGGAAGTATAAGCACATTATGAATATGGAGGTGAAGCAGTACTGTAATTAAAAGGAAACGTTCACAGGGCGGTCGGCATTTCTTTTCCGTGGACTTCGAAAGTGCGACGTCATCAGGATGATGCGAGAGTTCGAAAGTTTTCGGAGAGCTTCCGCAAAAATCCCGCGAGGCCGAGCATAAATTGAATGAGCCGCCTCGAGCCGGGCTTCAGACTCGTGAGGATGGATCTCCTCTGGAAGAATCTTCCCGAAGTTTTTTCCAAAGAAGTCTCCTCAGGAATGGGAGCTGAGGAATTCTCCTGGGCGATCTCCTGAGCCGGCAATATGCTTCCACGGAGACGCATCTCCTACTGGCACAGGTTCGCAGACGGTCTCGAGCGCAGACGTAGTTCACTGATGTTCAGAAAACAGAATAAAATGATCGTGGACAAATATTGGTAATTCGACTAAGTCGAGGTATGGGTTTCATTAGTATTTTTAGAGCTCGCCAATCGCTCAGACCGGAGGCACTTTAGGCCGACCGTGGCTGACATTCCGGGGGTGTGCCTCGTTCAGTCGACACGAAATTCCCCGCGCAATTACATACGCAGCGGCTATTAATAATTCCGAGACAGTAAACTCTGCAAATGAGCAGCACGTGCGTTACTGCCCGACTCCCCTCCTGGCTCCTTTCGGCCGGTTTCCCGCGTGCTTAATCCCACGCAAGATTAAACATCCTGCGAATCATGCTAGCGCTGCGGGTACAGGAAATAGATCTCGAATGAAAGTCATTTTCACGATTCACGAGGTACTGGGAATGGTCGAAGTTCCCTCCGGGTGCCGGGTTTCGAGTACGAGAAATCGCTGCCGATCTCGGGGGGGGGGGGGAGGGGAGTCACGTCAAAAATTGCATTCTCCCCGGCACGAAAGCGAGCGATCCCCGTGATCGGGTATCTTGAGCTCGATGCTGTAGAAGCTCACGACTCGAACCTGGGCCTCTCGATTCAAAATTTGACTCCAGCTCGAGATACAGCAAGAACATATCAGTCCATCGACGGAATTTTATGGGACCTCAGAATCGATTTACTTGAGATCCCAAATTAGTATCAAGCGTCAAGCATGGTTCAGGGTCTTATCGGTGAAAGAATCTAAGCAGAAAGATACTCACGCCCCCATCGGTTTCGCGGCCGAAAGTGCTAGCGTGCCACTGTGTGCCCCTGATGCTGCGTGGTTCTTCTTGTGTCGCCGCCACTGCCGCTATCTCCGTTGACGTTTTCGCTGACGTTGCCAAGAACCGGGATTATATAAGCAGTGCAATTGTTTGACTCCAAGTCGTAGCACGCTCCGTTGACGAACAGGCAAGGCAAGAGTGAATCATCATCGGTCGGCTCCATTCTTCGATAGAGTCGAAATCTGACATTATGTCATCCGCTGTCAATCCGTGCGAAAGAAATTACAAACCTCACCCAGGCAGCTAGCCAGTGAGTCAGTCAGTCAGCCGGCAAAGTTCTTTCTGTTCCGAGCGAAAATGGAACACTTCGCAAACAAACTTGCTTGCGTCGCAACCGGCATTGCGTAGGTCGCTGTGTTTTGATTTGCAAATCTCGACCACCCACTGCCGACTTATTCGAAATGATCACAATCCAAGGGAAAAATATCAAGGGGAAGAATCCCTCTCGGGACAGACTCCCCGTATGTCCTCCCTCGAACTGAGATGTTGCGAGCAACTCCGCCAATTGGAAGCTGTGACTCAGAATAGGACTGATCGAGGATCAGCGCGCCATTTCCCGGATCCCACGGGCAGGAACATCGAATCCCTATAAATCGCTATTATTATTGATTTTCCCTTGGAAGCAGGGGCGGATCCAGTTTTTTTTCTTGGGGGCGGGGGGCAAGTCATATTTTCAGGGGGGAAAGAGCCGAAGAGGATGACGCGCCACCTCGCGGCCAATGCTTTTGTGTAGGGATCGAAGATTCTTGGGGGGGGGGGGCATGGCCCCCTGCGCCCCCCCTGGATCCGCCACTGCTTGGAAGCGACCGAAACGAGTTCCCTGAGCGCCCCGGGACGGCTGAAACGATCGAGAGGGATGAAGAAGACGTAAACTTTGTTAAACGCAAAGTTAGACGGGGGAGCGGGGTTGTATTCACACCAATAAAAAATATACAGCCGACCGTTGTGATATAGATATACACGAGTTTACACGAAGGGCCACAACGCGACGCCGGATCGTTCCACTTGAAGCGATCAGGTCTCTTCCGGACGAATTCCAAAGTCTACAAGAGTTTCCCTGAAGCCCAATATCAGTTTAGCCTCCTGAATTGCTGGGGCAGGGTGTCGAAACCCTTATGCCTTGAAACCGTGGAATCCATGATGGCCGTGGAAGTCGTGATGGTGGTGCTTCTTGATGTAGACAGGTACCGGGACCTCAACGGGTTTCTTCACGATGATTTCTCTGAACACTGGGACCTTGACAGGAACGGTGACTGGCTGTGGCACTGGGATAACTTTGTGAACTGGTACCGGCACGTATTTGGGCACCTTGACGTGCACCGGGACATGCTTCAAAACAGGCACAGGCACGTGTTTGTACACCGGATAAGGCGCATCTTTGTACACTGGGACATGAACCGGAACGGGAACATGGTGCGGTACGGGGTAGGGCTTGTGCACGGGATAAACCTTCGGCACGTGAACGATTTTCGGTATCTTCTTCACCACCGTGTAGGGTTTGGGCACAGGGACTGGATGCGGAACATGCACCGTGTGCGGCACAGGTATGATCTTGTGCACTGGGTAGGGTTTGGGCACGGGAACCGGGTGCGGAACCGGTACTACCTTGTTCACGACCTTGACAATTTCATGATGGTGGTGGTGGTGTCCTCCGTGCCACCCTCCGAGAAAATCGGTGGCCTGAGCGAGCGTCGCGACCGCTAAACTGAGGAGCGCACAGTGTAAAGCACGCATGTCGATAATTGTGCTGCTTATGCGGTAAGTCAGACATTACTCTTGATGCCCCTACGATTTAAAGGGGTTGGCCCCCTCACCCTGCGGAAGGGAGAGTCGGTGTCTCGGCAACTCTCCTCGAGGCAGAATGACCTTCAGTCATCCGACCGACTAAGCGGCCGACCACCCGCCCGCCCGTTGGCTGAGTAGCGGTCCCTAGGCAGCAAGCGCTCACTCAACTACTGACGCCAGCGGTCGCGTTGGCCCCACCACTTCCTGGGGCAGTGCCGTTCGTCAACTCGCCACTCAAACAGCCACTAGGCCAGAAATAGACGGACAAACGGACTTACGGACGAATCGACTGCTCGTCCTTCCATTCGCTCATGAAATCCTCATTCGAATTGTGCATTTTCGGCGGAATTCGTTCCATTTCGGCTGCGGTTCTGCACGGAATCGCGGCTAGACCTCGAGAATCTCAGAAAATTCTCCGAAAATGGATCTCCGGTTACTACCTCATTGCCAGAAATCAGCGATTACGAATGACACGCACCGTAAGACCAGCCCCTCGATTCTCAGTCCGGAAGATCACTTATTGTCGGTTCGCGTTTTTCCCTCCTAATCACCGATACTCAGCATACGTCAAGATGTTTGCTTACTTCATCGGCACCGCACGCGATCCGGAGCTGTGCTCCGAGGCTTGAAGTTTTCTCCGCATATTTAAATAGCTATCGAAACGTAACGAAACAAAAAGATCTTATGCCGTACGGTAGGATTGTTCGGGGGTCTCTTACGCCGTATCAGTGACTTCTGGGACGTCTACACGAACCCCTTGCTCGAGACAATTTTCCGGGGATTAGCCAGCGGGGAGTTATGTCTTTCATTATGATTTCGAGCGGACTATCGAGCCCGGCTCCCTACTTTACGGAATTTCCATTAGGTTAAAGATCCGCACAATGACTGTGCCCTCTCCTGGGAATAGATCGAGGGAAACTGCCCTTCATCATGTCAGCTGGCGGCATTCGGTCGTTCCGGAATCCCCCGACCTCGTCTTGGGTCTGATTTGACGCAGGAATCTCTGAGTGGCCGGAACATCCGAAATCCGGGACTGAGACGCGCTGCTCTAGGTCAACCGATAACCGAAATCTGTTTTACGCTCTAACGATTGGAGGCCCCACATGATATTCATTGGAGCGGTCCCCCCTCAGGAGATGTCTTCCGGCAGGACTGCTCGCTGGAACGGTAGTTCCCATGATTCCGAGAGAAACGTATCCGAGAGAGACGAGTCCGACAGGTGAGACGTCCCCGCTCTCGACTCGAGGCTAGCAGATGTCGACCCGTAGAGCGGTGCTCTGTTCAATAAACGCGTGGAACGGAGCATCTGTCTCGTTCTCTGCAAATCACGGAAGCACTCACGGGGAGGAGAAATAAAGAGGGAACGCCATGAGCCCACCGAGAGGTGCGGGGAGTATCCGAGAATCGCTCTGGTCGAGTTGCGAGACTAAATGTCGAGTGCGCTTCCCTCCCAATCCTCCTAGTGATCACTTGTCAAGTCCTTCGTTCGACCGATTGAGACACGACATGGCGATGGTAAAGATTGAGGATTCATCGCTATCTGAGGAGTGCTACTCACCGAACCGCTAATCAATTCGGAACGGTCGCCAGCCTGCTGCAATGCGCTATGAGTTCGCGACTCAGCTCCGGATATGGAAGCAAGTATCTCGAGCGATATTTCTCGGGATGCGATGAGAATTCCGCAGCGAGAGTAGCAAATGCGTGAATCATGCATGAGAATTATCCTCTACGCCGTCGACTAGATTCCACGGCGCGGCCCCGGCTTGAGAGCCATGTGTGACGCTCGAGAATCCAAACGAGTTTGACCTATCATGCTCCGATATCTAGACTATGGCTATTCATTATTCATTGGCAGCAGCCAGCACGGACCGACGAGAACGGATGTTCGGGTGCTCGAGCGCCAGACTCCTGGGAAGCTGCCCCCGGGAATGAAAAATTGAAAGAATTGTGCCACCCGAGCCCCAGCTGCTTGTTTCCATCTGACGCTCACTGTCGCACATATGCAACGTGACCAGAGTACGAATGCGTGATGGGGGAGGATCGGTGCTCGAACCCGAGCTCTATACGATTGAAGCGTTGAGATGACCAACGAGTTCGATTAGATTTTTTTGAAATCATTTCCTTCGCCCTCGAGAACGATTATCGTCTTGGATGAGGTCGGAGTCGGAGCGCGATCTGTCAGCTAGTATGGCAGGAAGCCGAACCAGTTTGTCTTCTACATCATCAGATCTAATATTCATGACATGCTGAATCTTCGATCGCCCAAAGCGTATTTCCGCCCGGAGTCCGCTCTTCGGCCATGAACAGCATACGGAGGTCGTGTATCCCTCAGCCTAGTCGTGTGATTCAGGCGTAATGCCCTGCGGCTCCAATCAGAAAAATATCGTTGGTAGAGAATGCCTCTGTCTGCTTCATATTATTTCTCTCATATTTCACCAGATAATTATCGCCGAAACGGAAATGGCTCTTTGCTCTCGCTAAATCTGCGGGTGCGTCGAAGCGTGTGATTTTGACTACAAGGGGTCTCGTATTTCCCATCGCATTTTTTTCTATGCGTCTTTGGCACTTATTCACTCCTGTCGATCAAAAAATTCCACCTATTGCGAATTGATCTGGGTTTTCGTATCGGTGGTTCGGCATCAGATTCTGTCTCGATTCCTACGAGGTATGGAATATTGTAAAATATTCCTGTACTCGAGGAGAAGCGGGTCGTGAGGATTCATTGGCTGAGACTTCGATTATATGGAATGTTTCGTGAACAATGGAGAGGTGCTTTAGTAGGAGAATCAATAGTCCGATGAAAGTGCTTCCTCTCGAGAGTCGCCGACTGCGTACCGATTCACTAACAATGTTCGTGCTGATTCTCCAGGTGACGACGGTGGGTGCTGGTAGGCCGGCAGCCGGTCGCTCCCCACATCCATCCGTCCTTCCTCCTCCCGCTGCTCCCGGCGTCGGTGCGCGACGCCCCGTCGCCCCCGCGGCGATGAAGTTCTGGTCCCAGCTTCGGTTGCTCCTATGGAAAAATTGTTTAAGTCACTCGCGGCAGAAGCTGCGAGTCGTCATAGAGATCATCTGGCCCTTATTACTGTTCCTGATACTGATGTGGGTGCGGACCCGCGGTCTCAAGCTCTATATTCACGAATGTAAGTTATATACGACCTCGCTTGGCGCATATGCGTCGTAACTCGGGGTTTCCTCCTTTCCATATCCCATTCTCCTCATGAGAGCCTGACTCCGAACTCTGTCATCGCTTAATCTCCCTCACCGGGAAACGCACCTGAACCTCACCTCCCTTCTGCTCCACCTAGTCCTGTTCAGCGCAAAAGACCAATCGATATAAAAAAATATATTACAACGGAGATGAGAACCAGCATGGGCATCTTCTTTTCCTAACACGCTGTGTGTTTGCCCACATTGATTTGCTTTGCGCCCATCTCTTCAGCTTGGTGCTTGCATCGAGTCGTAGAGGTGTTGACTGTGCTGATCGATAACGCTCGTCGTCACTCGAGGAATCATTCTCGCGGCGGCTCGAAGCAACTCCCAAGATGAGATGACTTACGGAGAGTGATCAACACCAACAATAAATCCACGCTGCCGCATTCGCATGCCCGTATCGCTGGCTCATGTTGGCTGTCGACTTTATAGGATTCGGCTCGCCCATCGAGCTTGTCTCCTCCTGCTCTGACTCTGAAACTGGATATCTCATGCCTTTCGAGTGACTTCTGCGAATCGTATCTGGGGGGACAGGAGCTGAGATTCACATTCAAGCCTCGAAAATCGCTTTGTTCCAGGTCATTTCGATCAGAAAGCGATGCCCTCAGCAGGATTGATCCCGTTCGTTCAGAGCACGGTATGTACTCTGAACAACACGTGTCATGACAAAATGGCATCGGACAACCGATATACTTTCGAATACAACACCTCTCTGTGAGTATACCCGTGACTTATAGTTAGGGGGAAGATCTGTAGGAGAGGTCTCATTCAGTGACGCCTGGGCCCGCAAAGGGACGGGGTTAGTATAATACTTCTCCCATTTGTCGCTTGGAACCGTCGTAGATTCTAGATAATGTCAGCCATGCCTTCTGTACTTGTCGGAAGCCCTCGAAGTGGGGATCCCGATCATGATCGATGGTCTGGTCTGACCGTCACATGTCAGAGCGTTTTGGAAAAGGACCAGAGACACCTCGACCTTACTCCTGTTCTCCTTTGATTTCGCAGACTTCTACAATTAATGGGTGATGTCGACAACATAGTCCGGGAGAAACTCCACGGAGAGACTCTTAACTCAATCCGGAAGCTATCCTTCGACCTCCAGGAGCTTTCGGCTTTTGTTAAAAAAGTCACTAATCCACAAATACCCTTGAAAGGTATGGGGAAACCTGCATGGAGTCAATCGTCCCGATTTCAGCGCTCGTTCGGCATAATTTCGGAATTCCTAGCGTTTCCCCAGCTTTCCGACGTGCACTGTTTACACGTCATTTGAGGCTATAATATTTTTTGCCTTTCTCACGTTCCCAGGGAAGATATGGGTGAAAAATATTCTCCGAGTGAAGTCTGCAGAGGAATTCGTCGAAACGTTCAAAGAGGTGAACGTAACGATACCCGATTCCGTAGCAGAAAGATTCTATGATGTTTCTCTGAGCGTCAGCGGATTGCAGCAGGTGAGTGAAGTTACAACGCTCAGCGCCTTGGTCTCTCTATTTGCGATAGAACCGACTAACGCAGCAACAGGCGATACATGTCGAACGAAAATACCTCCGAGTGATCCCACGTCATAAGTAATCGATGCGTCCCCAAAGTGGAACCTACAGTGTGCAGTGTCGCGCAGACACTCATGTGGATAGGCCAAAGCTACATTCGTGGTCAAGTCTTGTGAATTCATAACTAGCGTCGGTGGTTCAGTGGTAGAATACTCGCCTGCCACGCGGGTGGCCCGGGTTCGATTCCCGGCCGACGCAGAATTTTGTTTTTCCGCTGAGAAAATCTCATTTATTGTTGTCGCAGATTTTCGATCGAGGTCGGCAAGACATCTACTCGCATCTGTGCAGCTCTGACGCTCTCCAGAAGCTGCTAGACATCATGGATAACAACGCCGACTCCTTGCCACAGCAATTATGCAATTTGACTGAGCCCGAGGCAATTTTGTTCACCTCGAACGTAGTTCGCAATTTCGACTGGAACGCTACCCTCACCGAGATAGCTGGGGTAACGGAGAAGAGCGGTTACGACATCGGTCAGGAGGATTGGCGGAAAGCGTTGTCCACGGCGCAGCAGGTCCGAAAGGAAGTGTCCGATCTCAGTAGTCTGCGGGAAATGCTCAACAGTCTCTCCAGGAAGGTCAGCATAGAACGGAACCTGTAACTGGAATTAGCTGTCAGCTGTCAGGAGTTCGGACTGAAAGCCCGTCACCGTGATAATTTTTCCCCTCTGCTATTCCCTTCAGGTTTCTGAATTGAATCGACTGATGGACCTGAGTGACGCGAACTCGACGATTCGTTTCGTTCAAGCTGTAGTTTGTGGCCGAAATTCGACGACTCTTCTAGACACCGAGCATGGACCCGCTCAGCGGATTGAAGAGTTCAGAGAGCAGATCAATTCAAACTTGCAGCAAAGCTCTCAGAATTCCGACAAGAAAAACGACGACAAATACGTCTACGACAACGCTACTTGTGAGTGTTCCGACTCTCTTTCGACATAGGCTCTTCCTGTAAATTTTGAATCGCGATTCCGCAGCCCAAATGAGAAAATCTCGAGCTCCGACTCGGAATTATTCTTCGGCGCCGGCGGCTCACGACCCCCCATAAGAACCTTCGCGGTCGATTCCAGCGCAACGATGTAATGCCATCTTCAAAACGCTCGAAGAAAATCAGATCACCTTATTCCTGTGGAAACAGCTGAAACCCTACGTTCGGGGCAAGATTCTCTACTCCCCGAGGAACGTGGCAACTTTCAAGATAATCGAACGCGTGAATAAAACATTCGAACCCCTGCTGGCCATCCGAGATTTGGCGCACACTTGGTCCACCACTGTTCAGCCAAAAATACAGGATTGGATGAAGAACCACTCTGAAGCAGTAGATCAAATAAAGGTTCGCTTCCGCCTCATTCGATGTGAATCCTTAATTTCTGATCTGTGCCCTCTCCTCCCTGTTCGATATGCATGTTTCCAAGACGGGCCTCGTCTGAATCGGCTCCGGTTTCTCTGGCAGAGCAGTCGCAGCGATCCTTGGCCTGCAGGAAAATCTGGAATTGCGATCAGAATCTTGAACACGTCTCGAATTTCCTTCCAGAAACTCTCGACGACGGGAAGTCTGAATTTTTTGATGATGATGGAGGAGCACGTGAACAATGCTAGTAGAACCACAGGAGACAATGTGAATTCGACTGGCGTGACGGAGACCTTAGGATGGCTCGCTAATGTTCCTGAGTACATTCAAGGAGCGAACAGAATCGCTCATGAGATCGAAAACGCACTGAACGTGAGTAGAACGCTTGATGAAGTTCGATGAACCTCAAACTAGTCGACAGACAGGAAGCCCCTCCGAGATGCATCAGCCGGTCCTGGAGAACACGAGTTCTCCTCGTTTGCACGACACTCGGATTCGGCGGTAACCTTCCAGAAGTCATGAACCGTCGGACTCCCTGGGGTTGCTCCGTACCGTTCAGCTGGACGATGGGCTTGTTTGTCAACGCTCCCAATCTTCTCGGACGAAGCGGACAGCGGATACGGCGAAGACGATAATTCGAATCGGGGGATGGACCGTCAGAGGAATCAAATGATTCGATGCTTCCCGCCTTCTCAGGGATGAACTTCTCCATTCCAGTGTGTCGAGATGAATCGGTTCGAGGGCTACGATCGGGAAGAAGACTTGATGAGAAACGGTTTGAAGCTCATGGCTGAGAACAAGCTGTGGGCAGCGTTGGTCTTTACGAACACCGGCGGTCCAAACAGCACGAAAATCCCGAAGTTTATTCGGTACAAAATCCGGATGGACGCACGGAAGGTCGATTCAACCAAGAGGATCGAGGACAGGTGGGTCAGCTTTTGGGAGATTTGCGATCTCATTTTGAAATATGTGTTCATTCAGCGCTCCACAGCGATGAATTTTACGTTCCCGTCCAATGCGCCCAGTACATCCCCATGAGGGATAACCGACTACGCATATCGTATCTATTCGAGAGACCAAGCATTTCCGAACCAAGGGTTCGGCTCTTTGCGACACGCGCCAGAGTTCCTCGCATTGAGAATTCATCACACCAGATACTCTCTCGGACAAGAGTGTTCGCGGGGACTTTATCTCGAGAGGTTCATCTATTCTGCGCGAGCTCGCGTGGCATTTCAAGCCTGACCGCTTACCATACTCGCCTGTCATGCTGCCCGAAGGCGAGTATGCCGGACAAGCAGGACGGCGGAAGGGGGAAGGGGGGCAGGCGTGCCGCTGTCGGGCTGACCGACCGCCATTCGGATTTCTTCTCCGTGAGCTATCGTCGACGTATCCGCACGAGGTCGAGAACTTGTCGGGGCATCCTCAGCCAAGTCGCAGACGCCGCTGCGCTGGCGACCCCCACCTCTGGCGCAATACATTCGATCACGCCAGCCTCTCCAGCTGTTCTCCTCCGTCATCGACGTTGTTACTGAGTGAGCTGACCTATTCTTAGCAGCACGAACGCTCGAGGAGTCCTCGAGATTCCTCTATGCGAGGTCCCCCGGCTGGACTGCCGAACCCAGCCCGAATCCTGTGTCGGACGGGTGGAAAGTTCCCACATCATTGACGCCGCCGCCGCGCCCTCCTCGAGGTTCTTCGCTCACCGACCAGAAGAAATAAAAAATTCATCGGCTGCGAAACACCGATGATGGGCAATGAGAATCAGCCAGATTCCTAGAAAGCAGTTCCACTGGGTTTCAAGGCTCATTCCTTGCGGCAGCAGGAAGTGTAGGCACGGAAGGTCCGAGATATCGCTCGTCGACTGCGCATGGCTCCACCGGAACGCGGAGCTCCCCGTAGGTAATCTCGGAACGAGTCTGAAGGATTCAGACGCGAGCATGCCAGGTGCGCTGGCGATATCGCTGCCCGCGAGAGATTCCAGGACTGGGTCGGTAGAAGTTGGGTGATCGCAGCCTCGCGGCCTGGAATCTGGAAAAGACGCTCGGTTATAGAATCATTGGTGGGTCCCTCGTCATAAGGGCTCCTCTCATCTCGGTCATCATGATGGTCGTCGTCAACGCCACCATTGCGCGCCGGCTGCGGGCCGTGATGGCGTGACTCAGAGCATGAATGTTTTATTCATCATCATTCGAAGGACTGTTGCTGAGAAGTGCTACGCAAGTCCGGGGAAACGTCAAAGGACGTCTCCGTGTCCCCAGCGAGCCGGAGGATCCACCCTCACCCGTTTTTTGATCGATTAGCGTCATCTCGGGTTGATATCTCGAGGCAGCATATTTAGGGACTTATGCTCCTCAAGGGCTTCGATTTCGAACGGATTCAACGAGAGGAGGGAGGCTGCACGCCGAACGATGATACGGAGTCACGGTGACTGACAGCGCAGTGTCGGTCACCGGCTTGCCAACGGATGCGAACAGTTTGGAGATCACGGCCGAAATAGCTCAGTTGGGAGAGCGTTAGACTGAAGATCTAAAGGTCCCTGGTTCGATCCCGGGTTTCGGCAAAATCTTTTGTTTTCATGAGATGCACACATACGAGATGGATGTTTGTACATATATTCATCACTCATTACAGTTCCGTATTATTGCGTGAAGTGCGTTTGAAGTCAGAACCCAGAGTTGGTCCGCGATCGATTCGCCGATCAATCGAGCGAATCGATTCTGATTTCTGTTTGCGTCTAACTCACGCGATAACGCGGAACATTGCAAAGACAGTCTCTTTGAAAGCCGTGCGGACGGGGCCAGTCGACCGAGAGACACTTCTCTAGTGTTTATCGAAAATAATGATCGACATTTTTTTCTCCGAATCGCGCCATGCTCCATAGAATTCAAAGAACGATAAATTCTTGTTGGCGCCAGAGCGCAGAAGATACCTTTCTCAATCTCAGTCAGGCCATGTGTCATCTAAGTCAGGCGCGGATCCAGGGAGCCTCCAAGGGGTGGAAACAGGAGGAGGAAGCGGTCAAGGCATCGAGGGAGGGGCGTATCGATTCCCGGGGTCGTGGATCCGCCACTGCTCCGAATTAGCATTATCCACCAAAAACTATTCCGACGCCGGGAATTGAACCCGGGCCGCCTGGGTGAAAACCAGGAATCCTAGCCACTAGACCACGCCGGATCTTTTAAACTGCACTATGAGTGTATGGCTCGTGGTCAATTACAGAGTTTATCACCCGGGACCTCGCCGTCGGCCTGCGATCGACCTCAAGTACATAACCTTCGGATTCGCCTACCTCCAAGACCTGGTCGAACAAGCGATAATCTCGTTGCACACCGGGTGGACGAACAACACCGGTGTGTATCTGCAACAGTTCCCGTATCCATGCTACATCTTCGATCAGTGAGTTTAATGTACCGGTTTGATAGAAACGATTTTCTGCCCAATCGTATCAATATTATTTTCTCGAATCATCACTTCATGAATCCGTCGTCAGAGGATTTCGGGATGATCGATATTATGTGTCGTCTGAGAAGCGTTAAAAGTCATACTGTCTACGCTCAGGTTCATCGTCACGATCGCGGAGTCGTTCCCCATGTTCATGGTCCTGTCATGGGTGTATTCGTTCTCCATGATCATTAAAACTATTGTCCGTGAAAAAGAGTTGCGACTCAAGGAAGCCATGAAAGTGATGGGCCTCAATAACTCTGTCCTTTGGACCGCATGGTTCATCAACTCCTTCCTGTTCATGTTCCTCTCGAGTGTCTTGTTGACGCTCATTTTGAAGGTGAGATTGCCGAGAAGTCCTCCATATCGTCCGGAATTTCGGGAATATCCCGTCTGATCGAATCCCGTCTCGCTCCGCCGCGCCGTATCTATCTCGACGGAAAGCAGAGACTTCTGTCGTTCTACTTCGAGATTTCGATACCTCGACTCAGACCGCACGGATGAAAAATCCGAATTATAAAGCGGTATCATTCTGATCGATCTTTCAGTTTGGAAAAATTCTTGAACACTCGGATCCAACGATAATCCTCTTGTTCCTGATGTGCTTCGCCTGCGCTACGATCACAAAGGCGTTCATGGTGACGACGTGGTTCTCGCGAGCGAATATCGCCGCCTGTGCGGGGGGCATCGTATTTTTCACCCTTTACTTGCCCTATCCGTTCGTGAAATTGTGGACTCATCGCTTCAATATACACGCCAAAGGCGCAGTGTCATTGATATCAAACGTCGCGTTCGGTCTCGGTAAGTAGATTTCGCCAAGCCGACAAGGGAAGAGAATGAAATTCCCGCAACTCCGCCCCCGGCAGACACATTCCCGCAGATCCCTCACATTGCCAGAGGAAAAAATGGAATCGCACGTGTTCGTCGGATCGAGACCACGATGCGTCTCGCTCTATATCTTACATTGAAGTCCTTCGCTACGAACTCCATCTTCTCTCCAGGTTGTTCCTATTTGGCGCATTTTGAAGAAGAAGGCACCGGCGTTCAATGGCACAACATTGCCCAGAGCACAATGCCTCCGGACAAATTCAGCATCGCTCACGTGATGGGAATGTTGCTACTCGACTCGATTCTGTACTTTTTGCTGGCGTGCTACACAGAAGCCGTTTTCCCAGGTGAGAGCCCCGAGTGCAATACAAACGAATCTCCGAGAATCCACGACCACGAGAATCGTCTCCCCATTTCGCCAATGCTCTTTTCCTCTACCGAGACATGGGGGCGGAATTGAAGAAAAACGCTGAGGGAGGCGAGAGATGAAATTTGGTTTCCCCGCAGGACAATATGGAGTGCCGAAACCGTGGTATTTCTTCGTCACGAAGGCCTATTGGACCGGAAGACCTGCAATCAAAACAGAATCCGAAGATTCAGTATCTTCGAATGGGACCCAGGCAGGCGCTGATTTCGAAGACGAACCTAATGATCTGACCCTGGGGGTTTCGATCCGACACCTAACAAAGGTTTACAGCGGATGCAAGAAAGCAGCTGTCAACAATCTTAGTTTGAATTTCTACGAAAACCAGATCACGTCATTCCTCGGTCACAACGGCGCCGGAAAGACGACTACGATGTGAGTTCGCAACCCCGTCCCACCGATTTCTTGTTTTCGCCTGACGAGTGACCGGATTGTTTTAGCAAAGCTGGATTCCCCGGGCAACTTCTGAGCGAATCCGACTGTGCTGAACCTCGATGTCTGCCACTCGCTCTCGACCAAATAGAAACGTTTCCCTGCAAGGCTTCCGAGACATTTTGATACGAGCCATGCAGATAGCTGAAGCCATTCGGGTTGCGGAGCGGAACCTTTCTCCGCATCGTGGGCCGTCCGAGATGATTCCCCGCTCGCTGCAGGCTGCCCATATCCTGTTCTATGTTCTTCGGATTCGGCCCACGAGAGTAGATGCAACAACAAACCAACCCATTCCGCAGCTGGACGTATCCACTGAGTGAGTTCAATTTCCTCTACGGAGAAATTCGCTTGTTTTCAGATCAATATTGACCGGGCTATATCCACCGACATCCGGTACAGCGAAAATATACAATGACGACATCCGAAACAACATGGACTCGATACGACACTCCTTGGGAGTGTGTCCTCAACACAACGTACTGTTCGACGAGTGAGTGACCCGATCTTTAATTCCTGGCAATTCGAGTATCCTTTCGGATCTGTGTGATGGCGCGGTGCGTCGAACGGAAGCCGCCACGGGAATCCCCTTCTTGCCAAGGTTTTTTTTGCTCCTAGGGGAGAGCCTCCGACAAATGGGTCAACATTTTTGCGGCTGCTCGTTGCCCTGCTCGTTGCCATGCTCGTTTTTTGTGGCATCAAGCTCGCCCTTTGCTCGACAGCATTCGTTGCTCGCTGCACGTTGCCCTTTTGAGAAAAGAACGCGAGCCAAAGGTGTTGAGTGGAACCCGTCTTTGTTCGAGGGTGGAGCTCGCACCGACCCGACGCAGTACCGAATGTTCGACCAGGAGACCGTCGTTCTCTTTTTACTCTCCGAAAGAGGGAATGATCACTTTCGGTCGTACTAATCTGGTCTGCAATTTTCCGACCTTTTCTAAAAATGGACCTGAAATCGTCTCGTACTCCAGACTATATTTAGCCCTACCGCACGTGTTTCGATCGCTCTTCGGGGCCGAATTCAACGACATCAAAATTTGTCTTGGATGAGGATGCGAGTTTACGTCGAGGAAGCCCGAAATCCATGAGAGCTTTCGATGAGGATGAGCTCTCAACACTTCGAGCTCGAGCTCCGTGGCTGCTTCCTCTGTGGCTACCGGCTCTACCCATGGCTAGGCCTGTAAATTATTCGCGGCGATCGCGGGATTCGCGGAAATTTCCGGCTACTCCCCATAGAGTTTCAATGGAGGCCGCGAATTTCCGCGAAAAGTTTACATCTCTACCCATGGCTCACCCGGGGATGACGCCTCGCAGCAATCGGAAACTACCATCACTGCTGACGAAAGACGGAAGACTCAATCCGGCTTCTCCCCGAATCCTTTCCAACCTTCTCAATATTGACATTTTCGTTCGCAGGTTAACCGTTCACGAGCATTTGTGTTTCTATGGCCAACTCAAAGGCCGTTCAGCTAGAGAAGCCGACAAGGAAGCGAAGGAGTTTCTCCGCGATCTCAACCTAACCAACAAGCGAAACGAATTTTCGGCAGAGCTCTCCGGAGGGATGCAGAGACGTCTGTCGATTGCGATCGCGTTCGTCGGAGGCTCTAGGACCGTGATTCTTGATGAACCGACGGCGGGAGTTGATCCGTACGCCCGTCGAGGAATCTGGGAGCTTGTGCTCAAGTACAAAGCCGGTATGGAGGGGGGAGGAAGGATTTTTCCCCATCTAACAATTTTGACCATATGATTGGATTGAGTTTCCGCGCTTTCGCTAACGAGTCCATTCCCTATGGCCTTGCGCTCAGGTCGTACCGTGATCCTCACCACACACCACATGGATGAAGCCGATCTATTAGGAGATCGCATTGCGGTGATAAACGAAGGTCGATTGAGATGCTGCGGCTCCTCATTGTTTCTGAAAACTCGTTTCGGATCGGGTTACTACCTGACCCTCGTTCGGGAATTGCCTAAACCTTTGCCCAAATCTCCGAGAACAACGCCCGATGACCACAAAAGCCTCGAGGAGCAGACGATCCGCTCGAATGGCAGCAAATCTGACGACGAAACCAACAGTGAGTCATCTGTGAACATGACCTTCCAAACGGGAGAAATTCGACTTCATTCACCAAGGAATAGCCGGGAGTACGGAATCCTCGATGAACATTCGAAGTGACACTGTTCCTGACTTTTCAGCGGGACATGATGCCGTTCCAGTGGATAACCTCAAGGCCTTGATCCGTCGTCACATCGAGGGCGCTGCACTTGTGAGTTCGACTGGTGTCGAGATATCGTTTCGTCTTCCGGCCTGTCCGGATACTTACGCATCATTTGAAAAGCTATGCAAGGAACTCGACGCCAATCTGGACAAATTGGGCGTCAGCAGCTACGGTCTCTCGGATACCACGTTAGAGGAGGTTTTTCTCAAGGTACGCTGTTTATTCCCCGTCTCGCGTGCTCAATCGCGATCTTCCGCGTCGCGCCCGAAAGGGATTTGAGAGATCTATGGTGAATGCTTGCTCCTTCCGCCAGGTGACCAAGGTAGGCGAATCAGCGGTGAATATTCATACGGGCCAAGTCTGTGAGGACCACGATCCTTCCCCGCCGTTCTGGCGCAAGGTAGCCAGTTTCTTCAGCGGTCTTCAAGAAATGCGTTCAAAATCGAGAGACACTGAACCCTCTGAAGAAACCGGTCGACTCACCCAAGATTCCGCTGGGGGTAAGCGAGCTTCTCTTCGCGGAACGCAAGGCGGAAGTGTTTGTATTGGATGCCGTCATGTCCCATTCCCCGGAAAAATAATCTTACGTATGCCTTTTCAGCCAATCGACCTGATTTAGATCTCCCCACGCCCGCCTCCAAGGAGGTTATTATTGGAACACTTTTGCGACGCCGGCAGCTGGCGGCAATGTACCGCAGAAGATTGATGCGGAACACCCGGAACTTGAAAGGCGTCTTCTGTGAAATCATACTTCCGGCGTTTTTTGTCTTCCTGGCTCTTCTGTTCACCCTCCTGATCCCTCCCCTGTCCGAGGAACCATCTCTAGAACTCCTCCCCTGGCTCTACGGTCCTCCTAGTTACGCCTTCTTTAGGTGAGTTCGAGCGCAGCGTTCCCAGCTAATATTATGTCAGGATAATCGGCTACTGTTAATTGTGAGCTCTGGGGTGAGCCCGATGCAACGTGAAGTGATTTCCGTGAACTTTCGGATCAGTGTTCCTCGTGGAGCTCCGAGTAGTTCTCCGTGGGGTATCTCCACCGTTCCGCGAATCGATCCTGCTCGTTCCCACCGAGTGTGTTCCTTTGTCATCTTCCATTCATGCAGGGGCGAATCCGGAATATTTTCCGGGGAAGGGGACTGTTTTGTATAGGGTTGGGGATCCGGGATGGCGTCCTGTCCCTACACTCCAGCATCACGACTTTATGTCCCGGGATGGCGGATGGGGAGTGAGCGTTGGAGCTGCTCCGACTGACGTGAGGTCTAAACGCCTTTGCATCCATCGCGGTCTTCGATTGTACTCACAAGTCGGAGCGGCTGGAAGCGTGGCCTCCGTGGCGCAATCGGCTAGCGCGTTCGGCTGTTAACCGAAAGGTTGGTGGTTCGAATCCACCCGGGGGCGGATAATTTTGCGCGCTTTCCGAGGATCAAGTTATTCGTCCTATCGTGGCCGGGAAATCTCGGAAGGACCAGGCGGCTGAATCGATGACGGGTGAATTGCAGAAGTCGCCCCAGCCTGACTGCACCTTGGCGCTGATCCATTTTTACCAGGAATCGCTGATGAGGACAGGCAGCAGAACTCTTAATCGAACTCACTCTGCGTAATTCTCGCCGGCGGGAATTTCCCAAGAGCTAGGAGTGCTCAATTCGGGCCCTTTTTAATGCGAGGCGTCAGCGTAAAGCTGACTATGCAATGCGCTCATTCAGAATGTCAACATTCGAATGCTTGATCCGCACGTAGGCGGCGCGGGTCTCTCGTGGCCTCCGTGGCGCAATCGGCTAGCGCGTTCGGCTGTTAACCGAAAGGTTGGTGGTTCGAATCCACCCGGGGGCGATTCGTTTTTGGAGTCTTCGATCGGAGAACTATCCCAAGATTCTCAGAATCTCAATCGAAAAATGATACGGAGCTCCATCGGGAGGACTCGTGTCGTGGACATCCGTTCTCGTCGAATAGTCCGGGATCTCTCCGATCGTTGGCCGTCACTCCCTGCATTCTGCCAACTCTCCACGAATAATTTGAAGACTCCGGTCAGTAGGAGCCGATGACGGGTCTCCGACGCAATCAATTATAGGCGAGTTTCGTTCGTTTCGTCTAACATTGGATAAGAGAGAAGATCACCGCGACAAGGAAAATGGTCGAGGCGACAAAAAATCACCGCCCAGACAGGGGCTCGAACCCTGGACCGTTAGGTTAAAAGCCTAACGCTCTACCGACTGAGCTATCTGGGCGTCTGCTCACCATGGCGAGTGTCTCGTTTCTATAGTCGGTGCTCTCTCTCTCTCGGCTGGAATCCATCGCCCGTGGACGGATTATTCATCCGTTGGCCACACACGATACGCGCTTCAAACATTTCTGGGGACAATCAAATCGGGCAATGACCAACTCGTACGATCAGGCGCAGTGCCCGGTGTGCGGTAAGGCGTTGGAGATCGTGTCCGCCGGATCCTCCGTCGGTGCGGATCACGGTACCGAAAAGGGCGTTTGCGGAGTTCGGTCTGAGGAGCACTCTGTTTTGACGGGATCCGATATACATCTGACGGTGGCAGGAAGCAGAAGAACTTTTTTGAGAATGGGCTCAAAAATTTCCGTAAGCCGAGAGTGTAGTCCTCGTTAGTATAGTGGTAAGTATCCCCGCCTGTCACGCGGGAGACCGGGGTTCGATTCCCCGACGGGGAGTTCTTTTTTCGCCATCCGGAGACCTGTTTTCGCGCGAACGCCGGACGGGTACGCCACGAATGTGGCGCACTCCGGTCGTTTTGGATAGATCATGAGAATCACGGGACTATCCAGTAATCGATTTCTTTCCTCTTCAGCAACGAAGACGTGACTGATCCTCTGAATGAGAAATACGTGGACACGCTGCTGACCAAACCCGGACTGGGGATCCGCTGCATGAAAGACATGAATCTGAAGTGAGCATCTTCGAGCTTTCGGGAGCAAAATAATTCAAGATGAGAGAAGTGGGAGCGGATAACTCGACATCGAATAGTGGACATCTGAGTGAGCGGATGCTTCTTTTGATCCATTTGTTCATGCATCTCCGTTCTGGTCTTCCAACAGAGATATGCGATGTGAGTCCGATCGATGGGAGAACGTCTCAACGCTGGCCGTTCCTTACGACTTGGATACTGCAAACGAAGTCGTGGGCTGTGACTGCTCCGTCGGAACTATGACGTGCCCCAAGGAGCCGCATAATCCGCCTGCGCTCCGAACACCCACGACAGACGTCATGCTGAATATGACGGGAAGGAATATCTCGGACTGGATAGTAAAATCTTGGAAACAATATCACAAACGCAGATACGGGGGCTTTCAATTCGGCATAAAGAACCCCGTCGTTTCCTTGGACTACACAGTTTTGGAACTGCTAGCCGAGCGTCTGGCGGATATCGGGGGTTTCAACTCGCGAGCCACATTCGAACCCCTCGCCAAGCGTCTCAGTAGTAGCCAAGTGCTGAATAACGCGAAAGTTTGGTAAGTTTCGACAGCTGTATGCCGGGACTTAATGCCACACTCAGGCGAGAATTAAACGGAGCGGTTGTTTCGAGCATTTTTCTCCGGTCGAAGAGCTCAGTTTTTGATTTGTCTGACTAGGTTCAACAACAAGGGATGGGCGTCGTCGGTGGCCTACATGAACGCTCTGAACAACATTCTCCTTCGGGCAAATCTTCCGCCTGGAGAAGATCCTTCCGAATTTGGCATCTCCGTCATCAACCACCCAATGAACTTCACGCAAAACCAACTTCAGGACGAACTTCTGTAAGTGGGACTCCTGAGAAGTGCGGAGTCGGATTTCTGGCGGGTTGGTATACCGAAAAACTTGAGAAAATTCCCGGTTCGGCGAGACTGACCCGACCCCCGAATTCTCGAGGTCCCAGCCGATCATTGAAGCCAATCAACTCTCACATGTGGAGGGACACTCGCGATAGTGAGATACTCTCAGGTTCCGACCGTGTTAGTTGATCGAGAGCTCTCTGATCACAGAATGCTCCTTACGCCGACGGTCTCGATGAGAGCGATCTGAAAAAATAGCGTGACGATTGCACTTCGCCGACGATCGACCCCCTGGAATTCTCTAGACGACAGAGAAGCTCCGCGTTGATTCTCGGACTTCACGTCGTCTGCATCGCAGAAACGTCTCTGCTCAAGGTCACCGAAGAGCCATGGCAACAGGAGTCAAGCGAGAGCTATGCATCGTTTGACTGTCTATGCTTGACTGTCTTCGGGTGTCCCAGAAGCGCCTTTGAATCTTGTTATCGCTCATCTAGTCCTCGAAGGAGGGATCTCAACCTTTCGAGACTGTTTATGTGGTGTAACACGAAGTTAGGAAGTCCTCGCTCCGGCGTTCGTTTCGTCTGATTCTCACAGATTTGTGTCCGCCTCGGTAGCGCAGTAGGTAGCGCGTCAGTCTCATAATCTGAAGGTCGTGAGTTCGATCCTCACCCGGGGCAAGGCGGCCTACTTTTTTTTTAGTATCCATCGCATCATGAGTACTCCTTAATCTACCGACCGGAGCGACCTATTCAGTAAGATCCGTAGGAAAGCCTGAAATTCTGCTGATGGTACAGAAGAACTTTTCTCCAGCCTAATCGGTGGAATCAGAAATGCTCCGCGCGCGGAGATACCGGATTCCCATTCCGCAAATGGACTTCATGGGCCTGAAACACTTGGTCATCCGACGAACCGATCGATTTCCCCCGAAAAACTAGTGGGAGTTCCTCGGAATCACCCTCGAATGATGAATGATGAACATTTGACTCTGGATCCATTCAGGAGCTTACTGATGTCAAACGCGGCGGAGCTCCTGCCATTTCTTCGATGAAGGCGCGGAGCAGTTTTCCAATCCTGATCAGTACTCTCTCCGGCAGCTCGGGCGGGAATGAATCGTCGGCAGCAAAAATCGAGCTCGCCAGGATTCGAACCTGGAGTCTTCTGATCCGTAGTCAGACGCGTTATCCGTTGCGCCACGAGCCCACAGAGATCGGCGCAGAACTTGGCCTTGTTGTTGGGGCTCATATTCTCATCGAGGCGTCGTCCGCGTCTCCCATTCGCGCCGCGGCGGATCTGACGCGTTGCCTCTGGCTCCAGGCATCTAATCGCTGCGCCCCGCAAGGACGTCGCCAGAATTCTGGCGATAGACACTCTGCGCGCCGTCGACTACAAATCTAGACTAGCGGCCGCTTCGGAGTGTCTGGCCCACTAGCTCAGTCGGTTAGAGCGTCGTGCTAATAACGCGAAGGTCATAGGTTCGATCCCTGTGTGGGCCAACTTTTTGGTGCTTAAGGCATCGTCATATTTTCCTTTCTGACTGAGCGGAATGCATACTATATTTTCACACAGATCGTGACAACATGAGCTCAAATCCAATGACCGTTTTTTCAGCAAACGTGGAGGACTATCGTTGCTGCACGCGACATGCGTCATATTCGCCATGTCATTCGTCCCTGCGTCCTTCGTGATGTTCTTGATCGAGGACAGAATCTCCGGCAGCAAGCACCTGCAGTTCGTGTCAGGACTCAAACCCTGGCTTTATTGGTTGGGCCAATACTCTTGGGACATATGCAACTACGTGATTCCAGTATTCCTGTGTGTTGTTATATTCATGGCATTCAACGAGGAAGCCTACGTGTCTAAGGATAATATCGGTAAGTGTGTGACATTGCACCCTCGACGAATTCGTTGGGGGTGAAGATATCATCCCCTGACCTGCGTCAGTATTTAAGGAATTCCGCTCCAGCTCCGAAGTAGTAGCCAGACCGGATTGGGTGCTCGAGCACGCCAAAATTCTAGGATGAAGACCGATATCCTACAAGCTCGTGGTTGACCCAAGCTCGTTGAGATCTCGCGGCCATTATTCTGCACTGGGGTTCTAGAGTAAGCTGTTTGGCCACAAAAACTACCCTCGGCGGGATTCGAACCCGCAATCCCCGGTTTAGGAGACCGATGCCTTATCCGTTAGGCCACGAGGGCGCGCGACCTCAGAGTGAAGTTTAAAGGTTTTCAAATCCTAACGGGAACCGCATAGACCCCTCACGAACCTTTGGAGGAACAATCCGGGACCGGTCTTAAATAGATGATAACACGAAAAGAAGAAGACGGTACTCTCCGACGTACTCTGACCACTTGGCTCTTTCCTATTCCAGGCGCCCTGATTCTGTTACTGTTATTATACGGCTGGTCGTCTATCCCTCTGATGTATCCCTCGTCCTTCTTCTTCGACGTGCCGTCATCGGCATTCGTTTCCCTATCGTGCGGGAACATGTTCGTCGGAATCGTTTCGACTGTCGCCACATATGTTCTCGAGCTCTTCGACGACGATGAACTCCTCTCGATTGCGAGAATTTTGAGGAAGGTGTGTGTTACATTTAGAATTCTCCAGGGAATCTCACAGCGTGAACTTTGAATCTCTTCCGTCCAGACAGATCATCCTTATCTTTTCCCGCAGGTTTTCTTGGTTTTCCCTCAATATTGCCTAGGCCGTGGCTTGATGGATATGTTTGCAAATCATCTAACGGCCGCAGCGCTGGCTCGCTTCGGCCTGAAAACTTTCCGCCATCCTCTGGAGTGGGATTTCCTCGGCCTGAATTTGGTTTGCTTGGCCGCCCAAGGAATCGTTTACTTCATATTCGTACTCCTGCTACAATACCGATTCTTCTTCTCGAAGAGGTGAGTGTTTCCCTGATCCGTCAGTGGGGAGTCGAGAAAAAAAACAGACACAGTAGGTGGGTCCGAAAAGGAAGGCTCCGGTGGGAGTCGAACCCACGATCTCCTGTTTACTAGACAGGCGCTTTAACCAACTAAGCCACGGCGCCACGAGGGATGCTGCACTTTGACCGCGTACTGTATCGGAGCAGCCTTGGCATGCCCGGTACTCATTCGGTATAGAAGAGTGAATTTTGCTGCAAAGGATCGGGGTCTTTCCGTCACGATGGTGCTCGTTGAGCAAGACTCGATGAGGTGCGCGATGAGCTGTTCGAGGACATTGTGCGATCTGCGCGAAGTTTCACCTGCGAATAACCTTCATTAAGAAGGTCTCGATTCGAG